AGGTGCCGAGCCCGCAGGGCTGGCGTTCTTCCCGCCTCCCCGCAGCCTGCCGCTCCTGCGCGGTCCCTTCTCAGCCCCCACGGGCCGCAGCCGCCCCGTCGCTCAGGGCGGTGCGCACCAGGCCGGCCCGAGCGGAGGTGGAAGGGAGCGCTGGGGTCGAGCTGGGTCTGTCCCCGCAGCCCCAGCGGAGACCGGCTCCAGGTGCCCGCACCCCCCAGCTCCTACACTCAAGCTCGGCGTTCGAGGCAACTGCAACTCCTGCTCCGCGGTCCAGGAGAGACTTGGGGTGAGAAAGAATCTGAGCCAGTGTGGCATCTCTTGAAGTCGGGTGGCGCAAGGCTAGTTCTTGGCGCCGGGAAGGGCGCCCACACGCAACCAGCCTCGGGTAGCAGGGCTTTGAGTGCAGCGCTTACTCTCCATGGGTGGGTGGGCCTCACCCACGGAGAGAGGCCTGAGCAGGACGAACACTGACCTCCCCAGAGGGAGTAAATCCGCCTGCGGAGCTCGTCCCTGGTCCCCAGCTTGCTGGCCCACGCTTCAGGTTTTGGTCTTGCACCTCCACAGTCGTGGGAGCCGATTCCTTAAAATAAATCACTCAATATGTACACGCATCCTGTTGGTTTGGTTTCCCTGGAGAGCCCTGACTAATAAGGGAGCAAAGCAGACTTTCTGCCCTCAAATCGCTCAATTCTAGTTGGGAAAACTGTTAATTGCATAATCATGTGAAAAAAAAAAAAAAAGGGGGTTAAGATGCCACCCCTAAGGCTGTCGCAGGATTCGTCCAGGTCAGGGAAAGCCCCCACGAAGTGTGACATCTGACCTCGAGCTTAAGGTCAAACAAGGAGACAAGGACAGCTGGGGCAGAGGAAGAGGGTCCAGAGCAGTGGCCTGGAGCAGGGTCTGTGCCCCAGGGCAAGGGAAGGCCAGCGGGAAAGTCAGGGCAAGAGCAAGACCAGGGTCAGGGGAAGACTAGGGTCAAGGGCAAGCCAAAGGCCACACCAGGTCAGAAGCAGGTGAGAGACAAGGTCTGGCGCAGAGCAGGGCCCGCGGAACGCAGGCAAGACCACCAGCGTCTCCAGCGCTCCTTGGGGCCGCAGCGTGGCCACGCCCCCAGCCCGGAGTCGCCCCGCCCCTCACCCAATCCCTGCGCGTCGACCCGGCCCCGCCCCACATGACGTAACCGCGCTCGCTCGCTCGCTCTCCCAGTCCCCAGGCGTCTCCCCGCCGTCGCCGGCGTCCCGGAGCCGCCTGAGGCGCGTCCGCAGTCGCGACGCAGCAACATGGAGGAGCTGCTGAGGCGGGAGTTGGGCTGCAGCTCCGTCAAGGCCACGGGCCACTCGGGGGGCGGGTGCATTAGCCAGGGCCAGAGTTACGACACGGACAGAGGACGAGTGTTTGTGAAAGCGAACTCCCA